AATAAATTCAATAGATTTGAATGATGCGCTGTATGTAACAGCAGCAACTCTAGTCGCTCCTCAGCACTATTAACTTTATTTGTCTTATTTAACTTATTTACCTTCGTTTAAACTATATATGGAAACAGCGGGTCTGCACACAAGAGTCAGCTCTCTTGTTTATTCAAGAGAAGAGTTGCTGGCCATCTTGAAGAGCCCGAATGGATGGAAGAAAGCTATCCCAGCGGAGCTAAGGAGGAGGTATTGAGGCTGCAAGGCTGGAGCTAAGCTTAAGGCTAGGCTCGCCGAGAACCGGAGGTGTTTTAGACCATCGCTTCCCTCCGTGATCATGGGGAATGTCAACTCACTACACAATAAGATGGATGAGATGTTCGCGTTGGAGAATCAGCAGACTTATCGTGAGTGCAGTCTGTTCATCCTGACAGAGACATGGCTAACTGACAGCATACCGGACGCTACCGTTACTCTGCGCAGATTTACAATGGTCAGAGCTGATGGAGATCCGAAGGCATGTGGAAAAAGCAGAGGTGGCAGTTTGATCATCTACGTTAACCGTTGGTGTAACCCTGGCCATGTCACAGTCAAGGCAGAGCTGTGTTGCCCTGATCTGGAGCTGTTGGCTGTCAGCCTGTGTCAGTCTGTCAGTCCTTACTACTTTCCCCGGGAATTCAGTCACGTGATCTCCATCTTTGTTTACATCCCACAGAAAGCAGAACCAGCTGCTGTCTGTCAAAAGATACAAAGTGTCACAGCACAACTTCAGTTGCAACATCCTGAAGCACTCATAATAATATCTGGAGATTTTAATCATGTCACCCTGGATTCCACTCTGACTGCTTTTCACCAGATTGTCAGGACCGACCAGGAAAAACAGGATAATTGATATACTGTACACCAATGTAAAAGATGGATATAATGCTGTTGCCCTTCCCCCATTAGGCAAGTCAGACCGCAACCTGGTGTACATACAGCCCCAGTACTCCCCCCTGGTCCAAAGGCAGGGTGTCTCCTCTAGCTCCATCAGAAGATGGACTCTTGAAGCAGAGGAGGCCCTGAGAGATTGTTTCAACATCACAAATTGGGATGTGCAGCTGGGAGCTCATGATGAGGATCTAGAGGGGATGACTCACTGTCTCAGATTATCTTAATTTCTGTGTAGATAATATATAGCTATATAAGTTCAGTCCATTTACCATTGAACCTCGGATTCAGGAAGAGCAGTGTAGTTTTTGTCCTGGTCGTGGAACACTGGACCAGCTCTACACCCTCAGCAAGGTCCTGGAGGGTGTGTGGCAGTTCGCCCAACTGGTGTACATGTAGACTTGGAGAAGGCGTTCGACCGTGTCCCTTGAGGAGCCCTGTGGGGGTTCTCTGAGAGCATGGGGTACAGGGTCCTTTGATACGGGCTGTTAGGCTTCTGTATGACCTGGATGCACCACTTCTGGTGTGTCTCGGGACAAAGAACAATTAGCATAAGGGATTGATCCCTCCAGGTAAGGTGGAGGGGATGTCACACTATTGACTTATTTTATATGTGAATATCCATCAGTCATAGCAGTCATGTTAAAGTGATAGAAAACCTAATCCAGTTTCTGTCTCAGTGTGATTCTGACACTGGGAGGACGTCGCTGCTCCGCTTCAATCTGGCAAATCTGAGCGCACAGCTGCATAGTTGACCTGTAACATGAACATAGTCGACTTGTAACACATGAACAAGCGTTACAGGGCCAGCCAGATGACAAGAGCAGACATCAGGAAAAACAGTGCTTGTCTTGTGCCATTTGTGCTCTATTCTGCTCTTTCTGGTGTTAGCTTTTTTCTACTTTTTATGACTTCAGCTTTCTCTCAGGTATCCTTAGCATTTTTTAGGTTGGCTGCTGGTGGGCCACCCTAGTGTGCCAAACCGCAAGTTAGCAAGTTTTCTGGGGGGAACCATGATGAAAAAGATCATTTACACAACACTACCCTGAAATTATCAGCAGAGCATTGTTCATTTTATTTTCATGATTAGAGCTGATAAGGTCACTTTAAGATTTGATGACAGAATAAGGAATTGTTCTTAGTAAAGTCTTAACTGCTTCAGAGATGAACACTGTAGATAAAAACTATTTGCTAATACTTACTTTTGGTGGGCGTTTTAAAGTATACAGAAAAAACAGTTTAATTACTCCTAACCTCATGCATTTCTATACAGATTCATAATAATCTGAAGTAAAACCGAAAGTTTCTTTAGAACAACAAACCAAATGGCACAAACTTCCTGCTTATCAGGAAGTTGCTAGAATGTCTTAGTTCCTCTTTCAGGTTGAGAGGTTGACATTTGACTGTTTCGACTCTCAAATTGTATTTCTTTCTTCAGCTTGAAGACTTGCATCATCTGTCAGAGATGAATGGAGCATCAGCTATCATGGCCCGAGAGGAGCTCAGAGAATCTGCCCTGAGGATCGAGAGCTTAAGTGCTCAACTGACAGGACTACAAAAAGAGGTTGATTTTTTTTTTCTTTCTTTTTTTTCCAATTTAATCCTTTTTCTGTTTTCTTAAGATGTTTAAGGATACATGATTACCTTTTTATCTTAAGCTGATATAATAACTAATGTTTCTCAGTAGACCGTGTAAACATTAGAGATGCAGATCTTTGGCCCAATACTCGCACTGCATATTGTGCAGTCCTCTATCAAGTGTGGACTCAGTTAAAGTAATAATAATAATAATAATTAATTTAATTTGTACCACACTTTTCATTAGAAAAAATCTCAAAGTGCTACACAGTGCAACCAAAATCATAGATAAAATCAACATCATAAAAATCATGTGGAGGCAGAATAGGCTTGCTTTAATAAAAAAGTCTTTAAGCCTCTTTTGAAGTGAACCAGTGGTTGCGGAGCTCTCAAACAATCTGGGAGAGAGTTCCAGAGACGGGGGGGGGGGGGGGGCGCCCACCGGAAAGCCCCGTTCCCCCTGGGCCCTTNATATATATATATATAAGCAGTTATGAAGCATAGTGGCCAAATTTGAAGCTGCTGCACAAGTTACTCAACAGGGTGGTGCTAGGTAATCAAAAAGTGAGTGCGTTGGTTGATGCCACCCATCTTTCTTAGCTCACCATCAGAGGTTGAGCAGCTAAATCCTTTCTGCTGCCTACATCTCCTAGAATGCTGTGGTGAATCGGAGTTCAATGATTATTCCATATATTGAATATTCTCTGATATATTGGTGCTGCAACCCACTTCAGGCTTCAGAGATTCAGCCACCACAGTGCGCGAGGCAGCCAATGTGCAGCATGCAGCTTAGCAAAACGCAACAAAGACACATGCTATTATTATTGTATAAAAAACTTTATTTAAAATAAAAACAAGCAATGCTTTTGCGGGGTCAGGTAAAGCCTGGCGGCCCACCAGGCTTATAATACACTGGGGGAAGTATTTTTGAATTGAATGGAGATAATAAAGTAATTGAATTAATTGAAACTTCTTGTGACAAATGTCAGAATTAAGATTATTATTAAATACAAAAATTCCAATCTGCCTTTGAATCTACCTTGTTTTTGTATGGTTTTCATTTCAAAATAAAAACCCTCCACTATGAATTCAATTTATGTAGCAGCAATTAATGAGTGTCTCAAGTTAGTTAACAAAAAATAAATTCGGTTCAACCCAATCAAGACCATCCGAACCAAGTTCATACTGAGCATGCATGTAGTGACAGTAGATTGGTAAAACTCTCCTATAACAGGAAGAAACCTCCAACAGAACCAAAACCTGACTCAGTACAAGCGTCAGTCTGCCTCTGCTTCGAAATACCCTGAATACACATATAATGCACAATAAATTAAAATACTCCACATTTGAGGGTAAAGTAAAGCTTTAAACAATATTTTAATTGTGAATATCTAAATTTAATGACTCAAAATAAAAGAAAATTTGAGTGTAACTATTCTCTTTTGTACCTCTAATGGGGCAATGTATCCCCAGGATACAGACATTTCGTGTTTTGTTATCTACGCTATTTAAATGTAATTCATGTTTTTTTCAAAAATGTATATTAAATCACTCATAGAGAACAACATTTTACAAAATCAAGTCCTTTCACATCAGTATGTACAGTGCCTAGCGAAAGTATTCGGCCCCCTTGAACTTTTCAACCTTTTGCCGCTTTTCATGCTTCAAACATAAAGATCTAAAATTTTTATTATTTTGTGAAGAATCAACAAGTGGGATACAATCACGAGGTGGAATGAAATTTATTGGATATTTTAAACTTTAAGAAGTAAACTGCAAAGTGGGGCGTACAATATTATTCGGCCCCTTTATTTTCAGTGGATCAAACTCACTCCAGAAGTTCACTGAGGATTTCTGAATGATCCAATGTTGTCCTAAATGACTAATGATGATAAATAGAATCCACCTGTGTGTAATCAAGTCCTGTATAAATGCACCTGCTCTGCAATGGACTCAGGGTTGTGTTTAAAGCGCAGAGAACATCATGAAGACCATGGAACACACCAGGCAGGTCCCCAGACACTGTTGTGGAGAAGTTTAAGGTTAGGGTTAGGGTTAACCCTGTCCAAGCCATGAGGTAATCACATGCCAATGAGCGAATGCGGTCAGCTATCAATCAAATCACCTCAATGCTGTACCTGGCTCGGTGCAGCTAGTACTATCACTGAAGTAGGTAAGAAAATCTAAGAACAGAAGAGCCACACCTGATCTTCTAATGGAAAATTAATCTGGCTGGGGCGGACCAGGACCGTACCGGTTAGAGGCGCTCTAGTGGAAAATCGCCTTAATGGGCTTCAGACTTATTCTGACTAGTGGCCAATATGTTTCATAATCAGGTTTTAAGATGGTTCATAGAGTTTTCTTGAAGGTGCTTGCCGAAGATTGTGTTTTATCATAACTTACTCCAGAGAAGCACTAGACAAACTAGCTTTAGCTTTATTACAAATCACAATAGAAACCATCATTATTCAGATGTCTTATTTTCCACTTGTTTCCTTAAGGTTTCACTCCTGGGAGATGTTTGAGGAGGAGCATGGAAAAGGCAGAGACTCGGGCTACGCCAGTCTCCACAAGGAGCTGGAACCTTTCCTGCTGCGTCGTGTCAAGAAGGATGTTGAAAAATCTCTGCCAGCTAAAGTGGAGCAGATTCTCCGAGTGGAGATGAGTGCTATCCAGAAACAGTACTATAAGTAAGAGTAATGGAATCAATATTCTTTTACAAAATTGATATTTAAATTCAGTTTTTACTGTAACCTTTGAGGACTCCCTTATCTGTGAAGAGAATCAAGAGAATTTGTATCAGCAACATACACTGAACAAAAATATAAATGCCCCATGTCAAATATAGTTTTATGAACATTTGGGTTACGCAATATATAGAGAAACTGAAAATATATTTTCAGTAATTACTGATCTTCATATTGGTATTGATATCATCGTGGTATGGCCATTTGTAGCGGATTGACAATCCTTTGAACATGATAGGGGTCAGGCTAAGGAATTGCCATTGGCATTCAACATGCCAATGGCATGCTCCGACATAACCTGCGACATCTGAGGCATTATGACTTGTGACAAAATTTGACATTTTGGGGTGGCCTTTTATTAACCCCAGTCCAAGGATTGTCCGGTTGTTGTTCATTTTGTCTGATCACCCACTGGACATGCCCTACCCATGCACTGAGTAAAAAAAAAAAAAAAAAAGCTTTAGCTTTATTACAGCTTTCACATCAGTCTGTACCTCAATGACTACTGCTCACCGACAGGAATTTGGGTTAAAAAATTATACACAAATCAAGAGAAATATTACTTTTGTACAATAAAATGTCAGCTAATGCTCATTTACATTTGTTTACAACACATGGCAATGATATTTGACATGGGGCTTTTATATTTTTTTCAGTGTAATATAAATGACATGGTAGGAAAATGTCGCTCCTCAGCACTGTCTTTTTTAACTTTAATGTTATTTACCCTTCGTTTTACCTACATATGTTTACTAGAAATGTACAATATATACGACACATGGTAGAAACAATAGACATTTGGCCTATGATAGAGATCTCTATTCAGACACATTCTAGGAAGTGTGTGCAGACCAGCTTGCCCACATGTTCACCTTCATCTTCAATACATCACCATACCAGACCATCATAACCCTAACCCACTGCCCAAGAAACCAACCATCACACGTCTCAATGACTTTGGCTGTACATAGGTTGCCAAAATCATCAAGACTTTGACTACCTATGGACCACCATCATCACTTCATGATGGTAGAATAACACTCACCATCGTGAAGTGCTTGGAGACGGTGGTTAAGGGCCACATCATTTCCATATTGCCTCCATTATTTGACCCATTCCAGGCTGACATCTTTCAACATTTTGTAGAAAGTTGTTGGAGTTGTTTTATCAATCTGTTGTTGCCAGCGTCTTGTCATATGCAAGTGGTGTGATGGGGCAGAAGCATTTTCAAGGTAGATCTTTCTAAGCTGGAGAAACAAATCAGGTGGTCTGGCTCAGTGGTTGGCACAAGGCTGGACTGTCTGGCAACAACAATGCAGAAACTCCTGGCTATTATGGACCATGCCGGCCACCCTTTGCACATTGTCATCAGCTGCCAGAAAAGTGGGTTTCATTGGGAGATCTCGTCTTCCAAAAGTGCAGGGCCAACAAGCTGATGAGGGACTCCTTTGTCTTTTGTCATGCAATTAGACATGGAAACTTTTATGCCTTTTGATTTTACATAAAGTGCTCTCCAAATATAAGTAACAACAACATACTGCTATTGGTGATCAACAGCAGTATGATCACCAATACATTATGCTTCTGATATTCAATAGTAATATCAGTTTTGGTCTGTTAAAATAAGGGCCTGCAAAGCTGCTCCCTCTTTTAGTATTATGTATACAAGTTATATAATCTGTAACTTTTAAATATGTTTTTGATCAGATGGATTTTGACCAGGAACTACAAAGCTCTGAGTAAAGGTACAAAAGGCAGCACATCTGGCTTCCTGAACATCATGATGGAATTGAAGAAATGTTGCAATCACTGTTACCTTATCAAGCCTCCTGATGACAACGAGTCTCTGAACAAAGTGGAAGCTTTACAGGTAAGATTTACACATGAAAATAAAGTGTAGTGAAATGCCGTTTCTTTAAGGTAGCTACTTCAAGTCATTAATTTCGATGAATTAATTGCATAAGTTTTAATGCATTAAACCTTTTTTTATGGAATTCTTTTTCTTTTTTAATATTCTTGTGTTTGTGGTATGCCTGTCGAAGCAACATCTGCAAAAAGCCTCCATTATTCATGTGTTTCTGGTGTGTTTTGTTGTCAGTGTTCCTTGGGTTATTGTCCTGCTGCATGGTAAAATTCCTCCAAATTAGTTTGTATGCATCTCTCCATAAAATGGCAGACAAAATGTTTCTGTGCACTTGGGAATACATTTTGCTGCTACCATCATCAGTTACATCATCAGTAAAAATTTATGAGCCTGTTGCAGAATCAGCCATGCCCAATCCATGACATTACCTCCACCATGCTTCACAGATGAGATTGTGTGATCATAAGCAGTTCCTTTTTTTTCTACACACTTTGGCACTTTCCATCACTTTGGTAGAGATGAATCTACCATAAATGTAATACCATAAAACTGTATTCAAGAACTTGAATTCTATTCCATATTGCACATAAATATATTGTTTGTGTACTCACAGCTCAGTGAGACATCACAGCCTCTATTTGTGATTGGCCAGAAGTGTCTCATCTCTGTGGATTTATGACAGAGTTTTCTGTGAAATATGTTTGTTTTCAAAAAGGAACACACTTGGCATTTAGTAGAAAGATGGACTGTACTTATTATCTCACTTGTAAAACAGATATGATTGTTGCCTTTTTACTGCAATGTTTTGTCTCCTACTACAGTATTTTTACAGTATTTCAAACTGTAAAAACAAATATCTTTAGCTTTCAGTAATGATCTTGTAATGAGCTAAAAGCAAAATTTTTCCTCCTTAAAGCAACTGGTCCGCAGTAGTGGGAAGCTTGTGCTATTGGACAAACTGCTGGTTCGTTTGAAGGAGCGAGGTCACAGAGTTCTAATCTTCTCCCAGATGGTACGGATGCTTGACATTCTGGCAGAATATTTAAGGAGCAGACAGTTCCTCTTTCAGGTATTTACACACAATGCTGATCAGATTTTATGTCTGAAATGGATACCTGTGTGTATGTCTGAAGAACCAGATGAAATGGAAACTAACGGTTTGTTTTCGCTTTTTGTAGAGATTAGATGGCTCTATCAAAGGAGAAATACGAAAACAAGCTTTGGATCATTTTAATGCAGAGGGCTCAGAGGTACTCTGTTTGATGCACTGAATATAATGAAATTAAATTAAATTCTTTGACTAAAAGTGAATTTCATCCTTCTCGTTTAGGATTTCTGCTTCTTGTTATCTACACGTGCGGGTGGACTGGGTATCAATCTAGCATCAGCTGACACAGTGGTGATCTTTGACTCAGATTGGAATCCCCAAAATGATCTTCAAGCTCAGGCCAGAGCCCACAGAATTGGACAGAAAAGACAGGTGAGCATAAATTGTCTAAATTTTCCATTTCTGGTCATATTTGACTTTTGTTATGAAAGCAAAGCACATGGATGTGTGTAGTTAGTGCTTGAAGACTTCTGATTTGGATGTTTAAGGAAGGTTAAAAATGATTGACGAATGAAAGACAGTACACCAGTGAAATAAAAAGAGAAACATGAAGGCAGCATATTTTAAAAGGACCTAGGACTAGTTGAACATGTTGGCCTAAATATGTTGCAATTTTCCTGTTACCTAAAAAATTGCTGTTTGTGATGCGCCAAAACTCATAACTACTTCAAAAATGTATGTCTTTTGTTACATTTTTCACCCATGAAGGTCGCCATTTTTTCACCGATGGGTTCATGATATGTTTTGGTCCATTCTGCACTGGAGTCTACAGAGTAAACGCAGGAAGGCTCATTTTACCGGATTAGTTGTTTATCATATTACATTTGACTGGTGTAATTTTAGATAACCGCCACACTGTGTCGCTATCGACTGTGATTAAAAAATAAATAAATAATGCAAGTCTGGATAATTTCCCACATGAAAGAAAGGAGAGCGCAGTGTGAGAGCCAGAGTGGAACACAGCGAAGGACCTAATCTGGACCCTCAACATTTCTCCACAACACTTTGAGTCATTTATACCAGCAGAATTAATGAAGGCTCTAACAGGTGATCGTTACCTTAACGAGCTCAAAATAAATGCAGTGTTGCTGCTGAGAGAGGCAGAGCTGGATGCTCTTTGAGATGCTAACAGGAGCTATACTGCCTGCGGTACTGAAACCACCGATCCGACCGGACCCATGGAGGTCTGGTGTCGGTGGTAACAAAGTCTGGTGTCGCTGTTACCATTGCACCGGACTCTAAACAGCAAAGATGTTGCCAAACCGGACACAGCTCTACAGACGCTGGGAGAAACGTCAAAGACGAGCAGCGCTAATGGAGCTATCGCTACTGGAAATGGTAATGGAGCTAGAACACCAGTACTGTGAAACCACTACCAACATCAAACAAAGTTTGGACCCTAAACAGTTGTTGCCTAACTGGAGACAGAGCTATAGAAATACTTACAGGATCACACAGTCCACCAGAGATGTGCGTCATTCATTGTTTCATTTACGAAGCTAAAGGCAGCAGCAGCAGCAGCAGCTCCTACGGCCATCTTTGTCCTCTTCCTCTGTTTGGTCCTCCTCATCATCATCACCTCTTATTTCTACGTTCTGATCAGTTTCAGTGCGCTCTGGTTCAAATTAGAAAGGCTTAATAACTTTACTCATCAATGTTTTGGCTGGAGGAGCCAGGCAGTTGGACAATTACATGTCATTTACCCAGAATGCACTGCAGCGTGAACAACATGGCGATACTCCTGTGAAAATATTTTATAAAAATTTATAAAAACTAAATAACCTACATTATTATTACTGTATTGGTTTTACATTTAAGAGAAATATTTCCCAAATAAGGTCTATTTTTATAACTAATCATGGTTTCCTTTAAAACCTGGTATGTCCTTACAAGCTAGAATCGTCAGTACCATCCCTCAGGAGGTAAAAGTGATTGGATCTGACATGAAAATAGACTTATCTAATTTAAAAGGTGGTGTGTGCAATTTTGCTGATCGTAAACTCTAATAAATCACCAAGGATTTAAAAGGCATGAGTGCCTCGTATGAAGTGTATGAGGCAGAAAACAGCGGAAATGGGCAGTTGTGGCTAAAGACACTTTGGGCGAAACACTTTATACTTAAGTAAATTTCGCTAAACGAATCTTATCTCTAAGGCCGTGGACCCTTCGTTATACGCGTGTTAGGCATCACAGCCATCCATAATTAACTAGAATCTACAAATACTTATATCTTAGTCGATTGTTCAGACACCATAGCAGGGTTTCCCCCAGAAAACTTTCTAAGCCCGGTGGTCGGGCCGCTGAGGCGGTCCACCGTGTTTTTGTATTAAAAGATGTTGAGTAGACAGGAAATGTAAAATTATTACTGGGTAGTTACCCAGTAATATATAGTTATATGTTACCGGAAAACATCGCCAGTGAGATGCTATTTAAACCCCCAACTAGTCTTAAAAACAACAAATCAAATAATACAATTAAAATAAATACCAATTATTTGCACTTCTGTTTAATCCAAATTAGTCAGCAGCTCCATCCTCCTCCCCAATT